GAAGAAGGAGGAAGAGGAGGAGAAGAAAGGAGGAGGAGGAGGAGGCAGACGAGGAGGAGGAGGAGAAAGGAGGAGGAGGAGGAGAAGAGAGGAGGAGGAGGCAGAGTAGGAGGAGGAGGAGAAGAAAGGAGGAGGTGGAAGAGGCAGAGGAGGATGAGGCAGAGGAGGAGGAGGAGGCAGAGGTGGAGGAGGAGGCGGAGGACGAGGCAGAGGAGGAGGAGGACAAAGGAGGAGGAGGAGGCAGAGGAGGAGGAGGAGGAGGCAGAGGAGGAGGAGGAGAAGAAAGGAGGAGGAGGAGTCAGAGGAGGAGAATTATTATTATTCTTATTAACATGTATTTCAGACTTACCGTGTGCCGGACACTATTCTAAAGTTTTTACTATTATTTCCTCTTCAACCCTCCTATGCCAACCATACAAATGGGTCCTATGATTAGACAGATGAGCACTAGGGCAGGAAAAGCTGAACTACCTTGCTCCAAATCAAGTTGGAGAGCTGGAATTTGAATGTGGATGGCCCGGCTCTAAAGCTTTTACCTTTAACCGCTGCATTCTAGGGCCATGGAGCTACATTTCTTTTCCTATGATTTATTACCTGTCTTCCCCCACTGACATACCATCTCCATGAGAACGTGGAAATAATACACTTATTTATCTCCAGATCCTCTCTAGCTCTTGAAGATCTTGAATGAATGAAGAGTTCTGTATACCTTTCCAGCGTTGCTTCTTATAATCTTCTCACACCAAGCTCACTTCCCTGGAAATGACCTGCTTTCCATCCTGCAGACTTCCAGTTTCTAACATTTCCTCTGCTTCAGCCCACACTCTCTCAGGTCTGCCTTTTCCTCCTCACCCCGTCCTCAACATGGGTATGATTGCACCCATTTCTCCAGCCTCACCTCCAATCTTACACACGGGTTTCAGACCCATAGATCCACAGAGTCATTTGGTGGAAAGAATTTTAGAGATGATAATTTTCAAATTATTTATTTTACATGTAAGTAAAATAAGACTTGGATGGCCGGGCACAATGGCTCACACCTGTAATCCCAGCACTTTAAGAGGTGGATTACCTGAGATCAGGAGCTTGAGACCAGCCTGGCCAACATGGTGAAACCCTGTCTCTACTAAAAATATAAAAATTAGCCAGGTGTGGTGGTGGACACCTGTAATTCCAGCTACTCAGGGGTCTGAGGCAGGAGAATTGCTTGAACCCAGGAGGCAGACATTGCAGTGAGCCAAGATCACGTCACTACACTCCAGCCCGGTGACAGAGAGAGCCTCTGTCAAGATGGAAAGCAGGAAAGCAGGAAGGAAGGAAAGCAGGAAGGAAGGAAGGAAGGAAGGAAGGAAGGAAGGAAGGAAGGAAGGAAGGAAGGAAGGGAGGGAGGGAGGGAGGGAGGGAGGGAGGGAGGAAAACAAGACTTGGAGAAACTAAGGAAGATACTGATGAAAATTCCAGTTTTTCTTCCTTCTTTCTGGAATTTTGATGTAACTCTGAAATGCTGCTGGGAAGAAGGAAGCTGTAGAAGCTCTAAGGGCAACAGGCCCCCAGAGCTCACTTAGGGAAGCACTTTTTGCCGTCCAAAAGGACCTGACATTTCCCTAGGCTCGTATTTTCGTTCCTCCTGTTCCTCAGTACAGTGTGCCCCCATGCTCTTATCGAGAACAATTTCCACCTTTACCCTTTGTTTTATCCCAGTCCCCAAATCAGAACTCTGGTCCTTGCCTTTAAGGACTTTACAACGTAGACGAGGAAAGAGATCCTGTATGTCTTATCTTAGATCTTCCATTACTTTGCAAACTGGTTCATAATCTGATAGAATCACTGGAAGAACAAGGGATAACGTTCTCTTCAACTTGTTCTACTTGTTTCTGAGAATGTAACAGAAAAAATGTGATTTACACCCAGATGCCCTAATTATATTTAATTATTAGGACCCGAGAAAATAAATTCCACAGATAATCTGTTTGACATCAACTATATTTTTCCATAATGTAGATGGTTTAATGCAACAGTAATTTTTAGAAGGCTTATGACATTTTCCTGATGCAACAGATTTGGATTAATGATGCTTCTAGGAAATAATTTCCTCGTAGATCACTATTCAAACACATTCAGAAGGGAGATATCCAGGAAAGATCCCTTAGGTTGCTTAAGGCCATTTTAACCTACAAACCTAGTACTTATGGACAAATAGGATATTCCACAGAGCAACAAATTACCATCCCTTAGATTACATAATGATTGCAAAGGGGAAAACCTTTCTTTTTGGAAAGATCTGGCAGTCACCACCTTAACCAAAAAATCACCTGCAGCATCACTGAAGTCTGAGGTCATGAAATTGTGTGCCTCCAAATATGATGTCATAGAAACGTCATCTAGGACACATTCTTGCCAAAAACATACAATGGTACCTACTTGAGCTATGAGAAGTCATTTCTAGTTAATAGAAACCAAAGGGAATAGGAAACAAGAGAAATATCATTACATAAAGCAATCACACAAATCCTCACTGTGGGACGTTTTATAAGACAGTTGGCTTGTTCCCTTCATAAAGTCAATGTTATAAGGAAAAACATTAGAGGGAATATACTAGATTAACAGAAATGAAATTCCTGAGCCTCCAATATAACCTGGTTGAAGAAAAAAAGAATAAAATAATTTAAAAGGAACACTTGAAAAAGGCTAAAAGTGAAATGGATGTTAGATTATATTAGAAAACTATTAGTTTTCTTAGTTGTATTATAAAATTGAGGCCATGTAATATAATGCCCTTACTCTTGGGGTCTCCTGTTTCTGGGAGTGAAGTATATCATAATGCCTACCATCTATTTTCATATGCTTCTTCAAAACACACGTACGTGAGAATCTAGCACTATGGCGATGTGTTAATAATTAAATCCCCCTAGTGGGTATCTGATGTACCATTCTTTGAATCTTTCTGTTGTTTAAATGTTGACTGTGAAAATGTTGAAACAAAGCTAATGGTATTGCTTCAGAAAATTACTCAGCAAAGCTATGTCCCACTTACATTTGTCATTCTGCACTCCTTATTAGAAACTATTTTATGAAATCTATAACTGATGTACATGCTCCACCAGGAAGGCCCCCACATGGAGAGCCAAACGCTTACACAGCCAACTACTTTTCCTTAAATCTTCTGCAAATTCTAAGTAAGTGACTGGCAAGAAATGTTTTTGGGGACCCAAATAGAGATGAGAAGCACCCAATTAAAGCCACTATGTGGCCCCTCACCTGAACCTCGTTTCCAAATTGACACTTGCACTGACATCAATGTGATGTCAGCCACATCACCTAAATACCTACATAGATCGAGTCTCAATGTCATTTCATTTCCAGAGATCAGAATCATATAATATTTCAATTCTACCAAATGAGACCAGATATGAATTTATACAATATAGTAAATCTAGAGATGATCAAGACACAACACATCTAAAATTTGAATCTGAAATGCATAGTGCAGAAATCACACAGCCCTTTTGATGCATTGACACTTTTCAAACTATAGAGAAGCTCAAGTGTGGCATGAAGTCATTATAAATATTTAACAGGAAAATTCTGGCATAACTAAAAGAGTTCAGAGACACAATTATATCCGTGAAGTTTCATTGCAGAAACTCACGAGACAAGCACATCAAGTGACTTTACATCCTGGAAAATGAAGACGAGCGTAAAGAACTATGATGCTGTGAAAGTCGTTCAGAGGACACTCCATATTATGGTGAGTCCCACAATCATAAAACAATGAGATTTTCCCTTTAATCCCATGGCACAGGTAAGTTCAAGATTAGTATCACCACTAACAGTCGAAACATTTGGTGTCAAACCCCTGTTACAAAACCACCCTGTCACTGAATTTCTCCAGTGCAGCAGCCAACAATGTACAGGAGAAGGAACACTGAAATCAAGGCCTTCAAGGGTGCTCCAAACATAAAATCCTGAGTGCTCTGGGAACTTTTGGAGCTTATGAATCACACTAAGCAACGTGTTCATATGTGCCAATGCCCTCCACATTTTACTCCAAACTCGGTGTGATTTGGAGGTGGGCCCTGAACATTAAGTAGAATATAAATCATCAGGAGTTACTAAGATAAATGCATTCTGATAGTTTGGAGGTTTAATCCACCTATTTGATTCTGTCAACTTGTTGATACCACGACCATTGCAATGACAAACTATTTTGAGAAGTTTATGAACCCCATCAGCTGTCTCCTGAGAGAATGATGTTGAATAAATGAAGACGCCAAACCAAATATTTGAACAGCATTCCCAGCATACGAATGGTATAACATATTACTTGGCAAATTTTTTAGCAGTGTCTTCAAATTTTTGACTGAGGTTAGGTCAAGGGGAAGCACATTGAATGGGCAACATTTCGTAACAAGAATAAAAAAAATGATGATGATTCAAATCCCAAGTTATTTCCTGATCATTGCGCAATTTTGGTAAACCTTTAGGAAGAAAATTTGATTTCATCTACAGATTCTCTTCCAGTGTTCCACTGATTATATTTCCTTAGGAAATATATGTTCTTTCCCATTTTCATTTTAGGGATTCTTGTTTTTGTCATTCTCCACTCAACAAACATTTCTTGAGAATCAGGAAAACATAAATTAAAATGGTTGATGTGTCAGAAACACAAACAGGTGTTGAATGCGTGGAGAAGACAGATATCTGACCCACGCTGGCTGAATGCGTGAGCAGGGGCTTGCTGTGAGATGCGCCACGTGCCCGGAAATGGAGGGGTTTGGGCTGGGGTAAGACGTGACTGATGGGATGCAGGGGTAGGAGATGATGTTCCAGGAAGCCGCAGCAGCAGTTAGAGAGGCAAGGGTAATGGGGCAGAGGCCGCTCAGAGCTCACATGTTGAGAGACGGTCCGGACTGTGTAATCCATGAGCGAAGCTGGACCTCCTTCTGAGAACAAAGAGCTATCCTTAAAAAGTTTAAGAAAGTGACTAACATGAGGAAGTGATCCTTTTGGGGTTGGTGGATGTGATGACTGGGTTTCCAAGCACGTGTGACATGTGCCTCCCTCAGACCTTGTTACCACATCCATGCTGTAGCCATAGGATGTGAAAGAAAGAAAAAAAAAGGAAAAACAGGAAGGGGAAGAAGAAAACGTGAGTAAATGTGTGTGTTAGAAAGCAAATGCTGGTGTGTACGCAGAAGTTGGAGGAGGCAGGCCTAGAGATCTGTTGTAAGGTCATTGCCGTAACTGGAACAAAAAAAATGTGAGAAAATAGAAGAAACAGGGATGGGTTGGAAAGAGCAATAAGCCTACAAATATGTTTTGTAAGTTTAGCGTCTGAAGGAATCTGAAAATGGATGAGGCTTATAACTTGAGTGGGAATTAGACACAGACATGAATTCCAGAAAAATCGATGTATGACGTTTCTTGCATATACATGTCTCCAAGTCTTTTTTCTTTGTAGTGTTCTAATCAAAATGTCAGCAAAGGGAATACAAAGCAAAGCAAACAAACAAACAATAAAAATACTTCCATTTTCTCACCCACCCTAGTTCTCTAAATGATGAACTCATTCTTTTCAAAATACATCGATGGAATAAATTCAACACTTGACGGACACCTGAATGTAATTTTGTAAACAGGACATATTTTACAGCGTGTATCTTTCAATTAAAGTGCCAGATAAGACAATAAAACCTTCAGTTGGCTTATTTCATTGAACAGATAAAAATACTTAATTCGATTACATAAAATGCAAAATTATGGCCTGTCAGATTGCTCTCTGACTCCAGAAAGCATCTTTCACCCATGACTATCTGTGCCAGGGTCATACAAGCAAACCTCTCCCTGAGGCGTACCCCAACAGATGGGTACCTGGCCCATGACTAGGTGCTGTCACCGCCTCTCATCAATTTCTACTCTATTCCCCAATAATTATATGTCCGGGTAAAATGGGGTCAAGGAAAAAAAAAAAAGGATTTTTGCCTCCACAGTTCACGGCCCTGGAATTTATAGCTTTTCCTCTTTCAGTTTTCTTGAATTCCTCCCCCAACCTCTCCTTACCCCTTATCCAGAAAGAATGCAACCCATGCATTTGATTAGTCTTCAGCATCTACAGCCATCCCCCTGCCACAGTAATGGGACTCTTAGGGAATCTGACTATTGTCAGGGAAATCGCACAGTCCTCAATGAGTTTGAAGGGAATGGAAGGCTGTTTATTCTCACATTTTAATTTCCTGGGCTTTTCATTTCTTGATTTGCCTCTAGTTTCGAACTTTGGAGGTGATGTCAGGTGTAGGTTAATTCACTTTTTTTTTTCCTAGCCCAAACCGTCTCCCACAGTATCCATAGAGGGACAGAACTGTAGGGCCATAAAGGGCAAAAGTGAGACCAACCTGGGTTTCAACCCGACCTTCCACGTGCCAGCTCTGTGTTCTTACACTACTAGTCTGGCTGCACTTCTGTCAGCTCAGCTACACAATGGGGATTACAAAATCTCTTTTCTCTTGGTTTTTTTCTTTTTTTTGAGATGGAGCTTTGCTCTTGTTGCCCAGGCTGGAGTGCAATGGCACGGTCTGGGCTCACTGCAACCTCCGCCTCAAGCGATTCTCCTTGTCTTGGCCTCTCAAGTAGCTGGGATTACAGGTGCCCACCATCACGCCCAGGTAGTTTTTGTATTTTTAGCAGAGACAAGGTTTCACAATGTGGGCCAGGCTGGTCTCGAACTCCTGACCTCAGGTGATCTGCCTGCCTCGGCCTCCAACAGTGCTGAGATTACAGGTGTGGGCCACTGTGCCCAGCCCTTCTGGGCTTTTTTAAAGTAAGTTCAAATGAGCCAATTCATGTAATGTGCTTAGCACAGAACCTGGAACTAAGGAAGTGCTAATCAAATACATTATGAATTCCTAAAGAGGCTGGTTCTTTTGTTAATCTAGGTTTTGTTTTCATTTTCCATCTAGGCTCCTCTGGCTAGTTTCTGTGGGAAGTGAAGTCCATTCTTAGAACAGTCCTAGACCCTTCCTTCAGGAATCCTCTGATGCAGATTTTCTGTGTTCTTACCTTTCCTATCAGACCACCTAGCTTACCTGAAGCTCTGCACTCTGTGGCAGACCACCCTGGTTTAAGCTTGGCTGGCCTTGTTTTTGTTTATTTGTTTACACAGCATCTTTTCAGGCATTTCTGGGCTTTGTCATAATTCCCTTCCTAAAATATCGGCCATTGCAGTGAACAGTTTCACCTCCCCTAATATACATTAGCCCTCCCAATATTCTTCTATCCATCTACCTTTCTGTTCATTCGTCCATTCAATCTACGATAATCCCTTGTTTCCACACTCCAGGAGATCATAAATGTATTGGGGAAGACAGTGTATTGTGATGCAGAGAATAATTTCAATATTAATTTTTTTTACTTCATTTTAATTGAAAACATTACATTTCCTTTTTCTTATAAGGTGAAAAGTGATCCATATTGAATGAGATTAAATGTTTAAAACACCTAAAAGAGCTTCTGGCACATAGAAGGGATTATCAAATGTTTGAAAAATTATTACAAGGTATAAAAAATGATCACCGAGAAGAAACAGTGCTCTTTATCTATGTGTTCAATGACGCACAAGAAATTTCCAAGGAATGGGAGTGGCATTGGGAGCGATGCTGTGTTACATGTTGAGGAGCCAGCATAGATGATGGCAAACATTGAGGAATGCAGACTAAACCACATGTGATGCTCGAGAACTCCAAGTATGCTAGAGAATAAACTTGCAGGAGGGAGCAGTGGGTCGGGAGAGGCAGGAGGTTGCTAAGGGAGACAGACAGCAGGTGATGAAAGTCTCTTATGGCACGCCCAGTATTGAACCCGGACTTGACTGGAGCAGAAAGAATTGTTTCCAACTTTTTCAGTGTGTACTCTGAAACAGATGGCATCTTAGATACCTGACATTCATTAGCCTATTTAAACCTCAAATAAAATGCAACATATTTAGATATCAGTCCCACTTTATTAGCACAAAAATCAAGTCATCGACTACTAAGGTGGTGCAGTTAGGATTTTAACTAAAGTCCACGTGGTCGCAACCACATTTTGGAAGAGATTAGACCAAGGGGCCCCGAGTGAGGAGCGGCACTGGGACATGTTTTAAGGGAAGAAATAATGTTAAAAAAATCAAATTTTAACAATCATAACTGTGCAGTAATGTGAATAATAGATTAAAGAAGGAAGAGTCTTACAAGCAGAAAAGCCCATTAAAGCCGAAAGCAGTTGTCTGGTGAGAGACGCAGGAGTCTAAACAAACACAATATGAAATTCCAAGAGCATGCTGAATCTGAGAGCTATCTGGGAACTAACTGACCACAATAGCAACCTCATAATGCTCACTGACGTTTCATCACGCGCAACTCCAGTTATCAAGGGCCCACCAGCTCACCGTAATGACTGGAGGCTAAGAAGAAGAGGGGGAGGGAAGAACAGACAGTTTTTGCCACAACTGGTAACTGGTCCTATCAGGAATATTTTGCGGCTGGGCGCAGTGGCTCATGCCTGTAATCCCAGGACTTTGGGAGGCCAAGGTGGGCGGATCATGAGGTCAGGAGTTCAAGACCACCCTGCCCAACATGGTGAAACCCCATCTTTGCTAAAAATACAAAAATTAGCTGGGCATGGTGGCGGGCACCTGCAATCCCAGCTACTTGGGAGGCTGAGGCAGAAGAATCACTTGAACCCAGGAGGCGGAGGTTGCAGTGAGTCGAGATCGCTCTATTTCACTCCAACCTGGGTAAAAGGGCGAGAGTCTGTCTCAAAAAAAAAAAAAAAAAAAAAAAAGAATATGGTGAGAATAAATGTTTAAAGTAACACTGAGCTACAGCACAACACTCAATCTTTAATAGTGAATGAGGAAGTAATCCCAGGCCTGAGGAGTACAATGGAATGAGGGGCAGAAGCAGCATAAAATCCTGGAGGCTGTAGATTAGGGAGAAGGTCACGGCTTGGCTGCAGCTAAGAGACGAGGAGACCAGAGCGGGTTAGAGAATCTCCACGTTCCGTGCAGGTTGAAGGTTTGGAGGCAATTTTCGCAAGTTACCTCACAGAGATTCTTTATTCATATATTTACCTAGAATTCAGGTGTGCCTGACGGTGCAGCTCAGGAGTAACAAATGTCCCTTCCAGGACTCCAGCAGTGATTTTTAAAAATGCATGTTTGGAGCCTTAATACAAGAGCATACTGGGAACAGCACTTTAACTTTTAGTGCACATTTGGACTTGCTGAGTCTCTGTTTTAATAATGCTGCCCTCTTTTCCTCTAAGAACGGCTGAATGCGCCTTCGAGAGACACTTCAGAAATCACACTGTGGCCTGCACCGTGGATATCTGTTCTTTTGGTGTTGGGGGAAGGAGCTTGAATGTCTCTGTGAAGAGGATAGGAATGGAACAGTGTTCCCAGGTCCGGAGGAAGCTGCAAGTTCACTGAATGAACCCCTGTAAGTATTTCCCCTGTGCCGCTGGTCCGAAAAATGCCAACAGAGTTTAAAGCAAGGGAGGAAGGGTGGAATGTACGAGGGATTGATTCACGGGTCATCAACCCAGATGCCACCTGTGAGTGATCCCTCAGTAACATCGTACTCAACCAAATGAGACAAGTGTTTCTGGTGGCCTTCCAGCACAGAGCGACTTCATTGTTTTTCATTCTCTGTCGTAACAGGATTTTAGAATCACACAATCCCAGCTGTTAACAGGTATGTACCATCACGCTACCACTTCAGGCACATCAAGGAAACATACACTGGCTTCCTTTCTCAGTAGATACAAGCATTTCAAAAAGACATCAGAAGAAGAGTTTAAGAAATTGTGGAGGGTGAAACAGGACCGCTCCTACCATGTCTGATAAATGGCTACGTTCTCTGATGACTCGCAAGGGATCCATCACCCTGCCTCATAAGAGAGGTCCTTCCTCTGGCTCAGCTCACTGCCCTGGCACTGCTGCCCTGTCATCTCTGCCCTTCCTCCCTCTTAGAAGCCAACCCTCACTTCCCCGTAGGTGGCAGATACTTCTTGTGTCCTTTGCAGCTGTTCTCAACAGCCCTCCCTGACATTGCAAATTTGGATTTGG